AACTAGCTGCCTTCCCTCTATTCTTACACTGCTAAATTAGGGATGGCTAGTGCAGATAGCCCTCGTGTAGCTTTGCGCGAAATTCAAAAACAAACAATCCTTTCATATAGGAATTTAATTTATTTTTTTTAATTATTTGTCAGAAATTGTCATTTTGTATATCCAATGAATTTCAACTTGATTCATGTAAATTAACATAAATCTTTCGGTATGCCATTATTTTGCCAATTGTAGTATTGCTTAATGCTGTTAAAAACTGTTTCAAAACAAAATTTCACAAAACTCATAAACTAAAATAACATAAACCAAATTATATATTTTTCAAGCAAAAACTATGTATTATGTAAAAAGTAAGTACCAAATTTTATACAGATAAATTAAATGTTTTAAGTGTGAGAACAAAAACAAGGTTGATGCAACATTACCTGCCAGCCATTAATATTTCCTTTCATCTTATCTTATAGTATCTGTTTTATTGTGTGCCTAAAATTGTATAAATGTATCTAATAGTTCTTTTCAGTAAAACTATTTATTGTTATGGCATACTTATTTTCTTGTTTATTGATACCATGCTCTTACATACAAAGAAAGTAACCATTAAAAAAATATTATTTATCAGAAAGTTTCATTTTATATATTTAATTAGGTCTTAACTTGTTTTATTTTTCATCAATTATTAATATTAGCAATTTATCTTCCCCTATTTCAGCAGTTATGTAACAGCAACAATAGCATAAAACACTGATGAACAGTAGAAACATTTATTGGAGAAACACAATTTGCACTTGTATCCTAGGTATAGGATATATACATATAGGGGATATTTTTCCAACTACATTTTCGTTAAATTTCTATGTAATAAATAGCTTTTTCAATAACTAAGTAGTTCTTGTATTTGATATTTGAGTAATTATAAATTTATTAATACACCAAATAAAAAATGCTTTTGTGTTACGTGATTAGTTTGTTGTCACAGGACACCTGGCTTACCAGTCTCACTAATGATAAACATTCTTACCTTACATTTTCTCTTTTAAGAATATTCATGCAGTTTTAAAATGGATGTAAATATCATGAACAAAACACTAAAAAGATACTATAAAAAAATAACCCAGGTTTTTGGCATGTTCCCAAGTTTTTAAACTTCACATTAGAATCATTTGTTCTCCACTAGTTCTACTAGTCACTTTCTCAGAAATTGTACATCACTGCAATACCCATTGTCACTGCACAAAGACCAAAGTTTAAACATTTAAAAACATTTTTTGCTGCAAATTATTCTAAATAAATTTTACAAAATATCAATTTTTAGATATTTTCAAGTAAAAAAATTGTGGAAATAGAGTTAAAATGGCTATTTTTACTAAATTGTGAAATTTATTCTGCAAACATGCCCTTGATGCCCTGGCAAACTGCTCAATGAAATAAAGTTAAGCAGAAACTAGATAATAGTCATAAAGTTTGTACTAAGTGTTATGGAGTTTAATATTTCTTCTGTGAGAATGAAAAAATCAGGGGATATCAGCTTGACAAGACCTAAGTATTGATGCATTAAATTATATGGCATAGTGGTTGTAAAAGATGTGGAATAATATAATTTCCTGATTTCATTCCTGATATTCCTGGTTAATATGAAACAATTCTAAAGTGTGATGTAACTTGGCTCATTCCATTCTGTTTGGAGTGTTAATAAATGTGACACTGTTGAACAAAGATGTGTTCAGTTCTCAGTATCTCTAATATGGTATGTTAAATATAAAGATTTTCTATAGGATTTTTGGTAAGAAATTATCTGTCTTTTGGTTGAACGATTTTTGTGGTTATAACGTATTTCTTTCTTAATTGTGTATACCACGTAAAAGTACTTGTTTATTAAAATATCTATTTATACAATTACAGGAACTAAATATCCCACTAGAAAAGTGTTAAAGATTTGCTAATGTATCTAGTTTAATTAAGTATTTTACAAAAAGAAAAAAAGTTTTGTTTTATTAGTAAGCACCAAATCAGTTGAACGAGTAGTATTTGATAATTCTTTGTGAACTGTCTTGAACTTTAATCTAGAGGTGCAAAAAAACCTGTTATAAACATAATCCATTGACAGCAGGTTGCACTTATATTCAAGTTAATGTCTATTAAAGTTGAAACTACTAAACAGAAGAATAATTGTTTTCAAGGCCTTCCAGTGTCCGTTTCTGTTTGTGCTAGCTAGTCAAGTAACTTGTGTGTGTGTGTATATATTATCAAACATATAAACATGGTAAAAGTATCATTTTTAAAACAACTGTAATAAAATATGCAAAATATGATTGGAAGAGTAACTTCTACCATGCCACAATGTCTGTTAAAAATTTGAATTATGGAATTTCATACTTATTCTTTACATTGAAATTTTATTAATATCATTGGAGAACTTTTGTGCAACTTACATCTGACATAAATTGTTTTAGGTATTTTTATTATTTGTTTTTCTCCACATATATTTTGTTCTTGGTCAGTGACTGAGAACAGGGTTAAAGTACATTTGAAACCTGCATTATTAATACTTGAGATTAAATAATCTGGTGAGGAGAAAGCTCATACAGTAAATATGAATTTTGTCTCTCTTTACAGGGGAATATATTTTGTGTCTGAAGGTTTGAGTCTTGAGGATATGCTCTTTAATGTCCAGTCTGAATGGTAGGTGTACAATAAGGATTTACTGTCTGTATGTACATTTCAACCTTAGGAATAACTATTGATGATGCACTGCTTGATATGTAGTCTGAATGGTAAATTCATAAAGTGAGATATATTGAGTAAATGAAATAATCTTGCAATATGTCTTTCATTTATTATAGTACATAAACTAGAAATATTAGAACCAGAAAAACTGTTTAACATGTGCCTAAAATGAGATTATTCACCAGTAGAAGAAAAGTATAAGACCTGTTACTGTGATTTCTATACAGAAGTTTGTTTAGGTTTACTAAAACAATAAAAGCTGAAATGTGTACATGACTATTTCACTGAGAAAGACTGACATTTAAAAAGGCACTGTGAAAAGGAAAGATGTAGTTAGTTTTACTATTATAGGATGAGACTATGTACTAGTGTAACAGAAGGAGAAGTCAGTCGAGCCAAGAATCTGTTGAAGACAAACATGCTGCTCCAGCTGGATGGTTCCACTCCTATATGTGAAGACATTGGAAGGTCAGTATTGAAGTTAACTTTTTAAACAGATGTAATAATACAAATAAACAACTCGACAACCATTGAAAATTGACTTTAGAAGTTAATAAGTGTGTGTGTGTGTGAGCATTTTTGGGTTCTTATTAGAGCTGGAAGACTAATTTGATTAATCAATATAATTGATTATTTATGAATATAAATTAGTGTCTTTTAAAATAACTGATTAATTAAATTTATTTTAGATTATTCCAACTATTCAGGTTGTATTTATGAAAATAAAAATTTTCTTACTGTAAAAGCTGTAACTTGTAAAAATACTTCTCACCAGCAAGCAAACTTAAAACCATTTAGAGGTAAGTAATACCTAAGTTTCGTATAATGTTAACTATTAAAATAGATTTTTTACCTGTCCAAAGAAACCTACTTATTCAAAGATGACAGCTACTCACTGTTCAACAGTTGTTTTTCCTGTTATTTCTTAATATATATATATATATATATAATAAAACAATTTAGATGAGGTTTTGGCACAATAATGTAATTACTACTTATAACACAGTAAGTACATCACTACTATACTTTATAATGTTAATTTTATATTATTTGTGTGAACTATGTCAGATGGTCCTTACTTTAAAAGTTGTGACTTGAAAAGTATTATTTACCTTTGATTGGATGTTTAAGGTATTTCTAACCAACCATATCATCAAATGACTATTTAATTTTCAGACAAATGTTGTGTTATGGGAGACGTATTCCTCTGCCAGAGTTGGAAGCCAGGATTGAGGTTAGTATCGGTATTGATATCGAAATTAAAAATAGTATAAAGTGTTACAACATTGTAGAAAGTAAATTTAATTTTATTACTACAGATAAACAACTTCTTTATCATCACCTACTATTGAAAAGGTTTTCAGGAATATTTCAAGATTAACCTTCTGCACATAGGCTTGTTCATTTCAACAGGCCTTGTAAACACCATGAAACTATACATACTATAACTTTTAACGTAGTAAGTATATTTTCCTGAAACTTGGCAAGCTTTTAGTAAATATTACAGGTCTTTTGTACACAGAAAATCAGATTTTTTAAAAACCTCATAAATGATTATTAAAAGTATTTTCAATAAAACTTTATATTTTATAATCTGTTATTTTCTCTACCCTAACACTATATGGGTTTCGTTTGACCTTGTAACCATCATAAAAATAAATAAATATAAATTACCATTTTTCTTAGCATCTTGTAACAGGCAGTTAGACTATTTATTTTTACAGCTGAAGCTAATAGATTTTTCATTTAGTTTTATATTTCTTTGTAGTTGCATTTAGACCTCTCAGAGTATGCAGGTAACTATTTATTAAGTCAAATAACTTTGTACAAACAAAGGATCAATTAACCACACAAACTCATCAGATTACATAGTCACTATTGTACACAGCGTGGTCACAAGTGAATAGACACCACCTTTTCAGAAAAATTGAAATTTTTCAGTCATATTCACATGAATTGATATATTTATAATTTAATTAATATCTAG